TGTTTTTATGCAAGTCCTAGTAAGAGAAAAAGAAAACACACTAATAAGAATACTAAACAACACTCGAAAACTTCACTTTTTTTAGATGTACAAAAACTGTTGAGTTTTTTAATGTAACGCTTGAAATTCTACTGATATTACAATAGACGAGGTAATTTCTACAACGTTTAACTGTTGAGGTGTACAACGTAACGCTCAAAAAGCTACTGATATTACAATGAACGAAGTGATTTCTACAATTTCTAACGACGAAAATAAAAATTTTAATTGCATGCTAATGACTAGATGATGGATATGAAGTAAGGCAGTTTCGAAGTTATATTTCTTGATAACGACATTTTGCAAGGTAACATAAGTTACAAATTAAGTTGAACTACAGAATTATAATTTTTTACGTTTTTTTCCTCGTCCAAGAACTATGTTTAGGAACACTCCTGTGATTCAAAAGGGATCAATTTTTGGACAGCAATCTTACATGCCTTGCATTCAAAACAAATTATTATACTTCAATACTAAGAAGAGTTTTAAGGATAAAATTTTTGACCTGGAATTATTATGCAATGGTGGAATATAATTAAACTTTTTTTTTCTATCCAAAAACGTCTTCTATTTTAAAATGTTCATTATATTATACTGACTCACTACTGGTGCTATTTTTTTCCGTCCCACTACTAGGTACTTTACCTAACATTGTTTAAAGCTATCGGTTTTTTATTCAATTAGAACAAAAAGTTTAGTAGGGGTAATGGGCTTGTGTCTCATTAAAAAAAAGTACATTTTGAGAACGTTAGGAAGTTATTTTCTNTTATACTTTTTGTCTTGGATATTTTTATTTGCCATCAATAAGTGTAACTGTAAAATAAATAAACTTGAACGTAAAAGTAAAATATTTTATCATCTGGATAGGCATGTAAAATTAATCGATCGGAAAATATCATCTTTTACTTTCAATGAGAAAATAAGATATTATTTTTTGCATAAATCATAGACATACGTTTTATAAATTATCGCAGTTATAAATGAAATGGCTTACTCTGCAGTTAAATACATTTTAATTCGCTTACAATCAACGATGAAAATAACTTTTTTTTTTTTAATGCAATAATTTTGTAACAAATATCCGTAACTATCAATTATAGACAACTATATAGTTACATTTTTCAATGATTCATGAATTTTTTACATCACTTTTCATGGCAACGCTACACGTATAAGTTTTTATTACGAATACTTTTGCCTTACTAAATATCAACTACAAAATATTAAAAGAAATGGCATTGTATGCAACAAATGATTTTATTTTTCTGTACAAACTGACAGTTAAACTCACGTGGATTTGAAATTATTATTTTTTTTTTCTTTCAAATCTCAGCCACGAAAGCTCAAACTAAGCGAAGCCTAATATACATATAATTATCGACGACCAAATGAAGAGATAACGATTGAAACGATGTGGGAGGAGGAAGGGGGGAGAGAAATAAGAGGCTTTAACAACGCATAGCCAAGGCGCTGTTACTTTCAAAAATATCAGTGAACAAATACCTTCTCGGTGGCTCGATTATAGAAATGCAGTTCCACCGGTCTCCGGAGTGAAGCATCATTCGCTGCGGTTAGTACTTGGATGGGTGACCGTCTGGTGCTCTTCGTTACGCTTGTGATGTTATTCGTTTCGAGGACCGGTTAAACTGTTTCTCTGTCGTCCTGATCAGCTTGAAGGTGCCTGAGTTAGTAATCCTTGTGTCTATTCGTAGACACTTGGACCTAACTCTTGCCAACTTTTGTTTTTTTTTTCTTTATTTTTACTTCAAGAGCATGTTTATCAATTTCCTTGGCATTAAATTCTTTTTTTTTTACGCATATTAAGCGAATTAATAAGCATACAAATTAACGTTAAACGCGTATGGCCCAACTGAGGGACACCACACGTGTGACATTAGTGGTGGTCAATGAAAATATGGTATATAGACTTGTTTTTTATTAAGGAAATATGGTCCTGATTTTTGGTGTAGTTAAATTAAAAAAAATTTTTTCTCCACTTGGGGGGGAAACGCACCTTGACACATGCTTTTTTAACTTTTGCACGTTGGGTGCATTATATGCGAAATATTTTATAGATTTAACTCTTTCTGGTTCTTATAATTAAAAAAAAATTTATTATCTAACATTTTTCTGAAACGTATATTAATTTATTTTGAAAATAACGACACATTTTGCTAGTACATCATGAATGGGTTTTCCCTTCAAATCTTTTACATCTTTTACATCGAATAGTGACAATAAATTATACTTTTTTTCATATATCGTCAGCCTCACGTAGTGGTGGGATTACAATTTAGAAACGGTCAAGTTGTCTTTCGTTTTTTTAGCGCAACATACAGTTTCTATGACATTCATTGTTCTATCTTGTTACTGTATAAGTAGCCAGAAATAATGCAAGTCTTATTGAAATACAACTATTTTATATCTTTAACTTTTATTTAAATTACAATCCTGATGTATACGTAAAGGCAATGATTGTTCTAAAATAATGTTAAAATTGGTCTCTGGCGAGTACAGTATAATGTTGACATAAGTTTATAAAGTTGTGAGTACTACAGTCGTAGATCTTAAAAAAATTCAAACTTTAGATATTTTTGTATATTTTTTGAAAACTTTTTTGATGCTCTAAAAAATGAAGGAAGTTCTCGAGCAGGCAAAAAATTCAGTTCTTTCAGCCACACCTTATGTTTTAAATTTATGTATGGATGCGGAAAAATTTTGATCCTGTGTTACATTTCGCAAAATACACATTCGAATTCAAAATGTGATTGATATGGTCTGGACATTGATAATTCACACAAATAGCCAAAAACTAGAGTAGTAGCACTCATATTGATTAATCGAAAAAATTTTTTAGATTTTTACGAATATAGTTGTACCTCTTGCTTATGTAAGAAATGAGACGAGGCGAAATCAGCAATCGACTGAAAAAATTAATTTGCCCACGATTGTTTTGTATCGTCCTGTTTAAAATGTGCTACCGTTTGGGGAAATAAAGTTTACGAAGCAGAAACGTGGTCAATAATGGTTTGAACTCATTTTTTTAAAACAAATTATGAAAATTAATTTGGAGAAACAAAAACTGCTCCTTTCTGTTCTGCCCATTCCAAAAACAATTAATTAAAATGTGAACATACGTAAACCCCACAGTTTTCGAGTGAAAAATTCCCAAAGTTCAGAAAAATGCGTTTTTTTCAATTTTCGAAGCTCCACGAAAGTGCTAAATAAATATATTTTCATATTTTATAACACACGAACGTCACCCGTTACCTTCCTCTACAATCTCGAAAAAAAAAAAAAAATTGTTAAAAATTGAGTGACAAGATTACACTTACATGGGAGCGGGCGCTAAAACGCCCTGAATGTTTATTGCAAAAAACAATCTTGCTACTCAATTTTTGACAATTTTTTTTGGAGATTGTAGAGGAAAGTTGACGAGTGACGTTTGTGTGTTATAAAATGTGAAAATATGTTTATTTATCACTTTCGTGGAGCTTCGAAAATGGAAAAAAACGTACTTTTTTCAAACTATGGGAATATTTTATTCGAAAACTGTGGGGTTTACGTATATACATTCCAATTGATTTTTTGTTTCAAATGGCCCAAAGAGAAAGGAGAAATTGTTAGTTTCTTAAAAAAAATTAACTTTTATAATTTGTTTTAAAAGTTTTCGTTCAAACAATTTCTGACTCCTTTGACGCCTGGCAAACTGTAATTCCCCGCACAGTAGCACATTGTGAACAAGAAGGTGCAAAAAAATTGCGGTCGAATGAATTTTCGTGGTCGATTGCTGATTTTGCCCTATCTAGTAAGTAATTTATCTGCATTTTGGGAACTCATTTTATCGGTAAGATAATAGTTATTATCTTTTGATTATATTATTTATACTATGTTTGTCCGTAAAAATTTCCTTATTTGTAAATTTACTTACAATTGTGTTTACTAGAAGACGAAAATAAATCATATTTATAAAAAAGTCTGTCTGTGTCTGTACGCAGACATTGGGCGCAAGAGTTATTCATACGTTTAAAAACAATTAATATTTAAACCTATGCAATTCAACTAGTATAAAATATTGATAATCTCTTCGAAACTAAATAAGTAAAAAAGTCACTTATTGCATTAGTTAATCAGCTCTGCACTTAGAAATAAGTTAAATTAACTTGGAATTATGTTAAAGTACATTGGTATGTTAGTTAATTTACTTAATGGATGTTAAACATTAAAGTGAAATCGTCACTTAAAACACATATTATTTTCAATATAGAAAAAATTTTCAACCTTGAGTCTTAATCAATTGATAAATCATAACTTTGGAACGTTTGAAAAAGCCTTACTAGGTTTTGACTTTTATGGTATATCGAGAAGTTCATGATATGACGAAAAGACATTAACCGATGTATCAAATTAACGAAAAATTTTCTTGCCGAAATGAATGTGTAGAAAGTATAGCAACCCGAAAAATATTATTCCGAATTTTTTTTTTGCCGAATTACAATTTAAAATTTTCGGCAAATCGTTATTCGGAAAAATGTATTCGGCAAATTTTATTTGCGGTAAATAGTGTTTTCGTAAATAATAAACCAGTTTATTATATTATTTTTTCATATTCGCTGATAATAAATAAAGCTGTAAATGCCGCTAACCGCTGAAAAAAAGATTATAATAATGTTAATGATAAATATAAAATTATCGTTACATTTTTTGCGTTCTAAAACAATAAGCATTTTCATTGAAATAACTTTATGGCAAAGTACAGGTAAATTACAATTATTTTGTACACCTCTTAATAATTAAAAGGTAAACTGAAATATTTTTAGTGAATACTGGGTGACTTCTTGGTAAGAGTAAGTCTTAAAATTAGAATAGAACGCATTATACCATTTCAATAACAAACGTAAAAAAACAGTCGTAATATAAATTTTTTTTTTATAATAAGTGCATTTAATAACTTTTTGAAGTTTTTCGCTCATAAAAAACCTCAACATCAAACAATTTTATTCGGATCGCATATCAGAGGCCGCATTATGGATGATGAGAGTTTTAGAGGCAACATTATACGAAGAAACATTGTATACAGGAATGTACATTATCAGAAGCAAGTAAGAAAAATACTTTCTTTTAAATCCATGTAAACAGATGATATATATTCCAATCGAAAAAATGTACCGTGAAGACACATTATTACTTGGTTTTAAAGAGTAAGATATAATATATTTTAAACGCACCAAGCCGCAGTAACTTGATGTGATTATCGATGATCAATGTACCTAGCTCACGTACGTTGTCTCATTGTACTATTGTTATTTTCACTACTACATAACTGAACCTTGCGAATTTTACATTCTAGTTCAATTCAAATAGATAATACATGAAAAAGTTTCAGAAACGTACGAATGTGGCTAAAACATTTAAAGTTGCTTTATTGCTACATAGATAAAATCGTTGATGTACCAGCATGATTTCTAAGCTTTTAAGTGTTTAAAAAGTTTGTATTAATACAGTACTCTTTCTCTCTCTCTCTCTCTCTCTCTCTCTTTCTCTCTCTCTACAATGATTGGAAAAAAAAAAAAAAAATTCAACGTTAAATAACTCATACTGTGATTATTTAAATATGATTAACTGATCATAACTTAAATTAAATTTGTGATGTCACAGGAGTTTATATCGAACAAAAGTAATCGATACTGGGGCTTTACCTGCGAGTACAGTACTGTTGCTAGTTTTGGTTGAACTGTGCTTAGGTGGCGAATCTAGATTTTGATTGAAAAATATACCAAGACTGCAGCAGAAGTTCAAAGTTAACGAAAATACGAAAAATAGTAAAAATCGGAAAAATCATCTTTACACCATGCTTTAGTACCTACAGTAGGTACCGATACCTAGTCTTTAAAAATATTGACATCAGATCAGACGGTATACAGCCAAAAATAAGGAGTAATAGCAGTGCATGCACGCGCATGTGCGTGTATATGTGTGTGTGGCTTAAGATCCACCAGTATATCGATTGATAATACTAATATTTCGATAACAGTCTTTACAACTAATATAGGGGTAAAAAGCCTTATTCAAGATTGTAAGTAAACTAAGTAGAAATTGTTAAAAAAGAATTTTTGGTAATGTGTCTTTCTGTCGTCAACTAGCCTGTTAAAAACTTTTCAACTCGTGATTCCAGTAAGTATGTGTTATTAATATCGGCTTACTGAAGTATTAGAAAACACGGCAGTACTGTATGGCGTACAATATTAGTATCGTCCAACAAACAATGGAATCTTACGATAAGATCGTCAGTGATTAGGTGTTTCTGTAGAAACGTAATTAAGGTGGTGTATGCTTTCCCAATCGCACAAAGACGTAAAATAACAAAGGAACGATTGGTAATAACTAGCCTTAGGCTTTTTGATTACATAGTCATTAAACTTTTTCATTTAATTTTTAAATAACTGAAAGAGTCGTGCTTGTTTACAAAAAATTCGATCTTATTGGAGTACAAAGATCGTCTTAACTTCGCGCTTGTTTCATATTGGATTTACCTACCAGTAGCGCGAGGCGAGTGTTAGTGAGAAATCGGGAAAAGCGGGCCTTGTAGGTATGCCAACTACCAAGATGGCCAGCTATAGCTCGATGCACTATCTTTTCGAGTTNAAAAAAAAAAAAAAAAAAAAAAAAAAAAAAAAAAAAAAAAAAAAATTGGAAAAGCAGAAGAACATTAGAAAAAAAGCTGGTAGCTTTGACTTCTTCAGAAAAGGAATGAAAATGTGTCGAAACACAAAACGCAGCAACACAGTGATAAAACTGCGCGCTTGCACTGTTTTCCTGTTATCACGCTCGCCCGCCGCAGTGATAATGGGCCGAGGTAGAGCAGGAAATTGAGAAAGAGGCTCCTCCAAACTCTCCGAGCGGCTAATCATTTGTGTGTTCGTGCGTACCTACATTGATAATTAAAAAATACTTATGCTTGGTGCAATGAGCCAGTCAATCAGTTATTTATTTACAGCGCGTTAGTGTTGAAAGAGGTGAGTCGTTATCGCAATATGCCCAACTAAGCGTAGCAGCAGTAGCTTTAGTAACAAGTGACCAGTGGAGTGAGACGATTAGTATTCGTTACGACCTCAGGTGTTACATTTTATATTCGTGTGAACGTCTTGCTTTGAGTTAAACGTAAAAGTTTTTAGTGAGAGCCATAATTTTATAAACTTAGCAACATGTCTTGTGCGAAAGCAAGTGAAGTGGTTTGCAAGAATAGTGCAATCATTAAGCTGCTGAGATGCAAGCCAAAATCTCAACACCGACAGCAGCTACCTCAGTATCTGCGCAACGGATATTCAAAAACTGTGATGGGTGGCGGTCTTGCAACTTCAAAATCGTTTAAACTCACCGTGCTTGATTTTTATTTCAATAACGGCAAGCAGAATGCGCGCGCAACCGCTCATAAATTTGATATCCATCGGTATCAGCTACAGAAGTGGCTGCAAAACGAAAAGACTCTTCGCGAGTCTTGTTCTAAGTTAGCCTCAAGCAGTGGAGTTATTGTTTTAACTACATTGGCCTTGAGTCGCAAATTTGGCAGACTGCAGATAAAATCTGCAAGCTCTACGTCTTCGCTGAAGCGTGGAAGTTCGGATGAGGAAAGTGGCGAGGAGCATACCCTCGTCCGTCCAAAGCGGATTCGCAGCAGCAGCCGCTGTGGAACGGCCGCAACATATGATGTGGACCAGGGCGAGATACTGAAGGCTTCGTTGCCATTGAGTGCAGCTGAGTCCGGTGCCCCGTCGCTCAACAGCCAAACGCTGAAAAAACTATGCAAAAGTGCAAAAAGTGAAAGTCTTGCGTGCCAGAAGCCAGGCCTTAAAATTAAAGTTCTTGACGTTTGTGCCATTAATAATAAGTTTTCTAGTAAGGCCAAGGGACGTAAGGTTGGCCTAACCCTTAAAAAATGGATGCTGGAAGATAATGACGTCAAAAAACTTGTCAATATCACAAATACAGACAAGTTTCAGCGTCCGGGACCAGTAGAAGAGATACAGGAGCCAGTCGTTGATTCACTTTTGGATGATGCGGATGCCTCCACGGCTTGCCCGCTGACGCCACCCAACAACAGCTCTGATGGACCCGAGCCGGATTCGAGCTCACTACCTGCTGTTGTGAGGTCGTGGAAGTGCCAACTGCCGTCCTGGTATTTACCACCAGAATAAGACAGTGAACTGTGCGAGGTAAAGCAAAAGAAAGATTTTAAAGGACATTAACAACCTTTGTTGCGGGGTATGCGTGTGTATGTATGTGTGTATGTAAGACTTTTCTAAGCTATGCTGTATAACCACGTATGGCTTCAAAGATTATTATGCTTAGCAATATTTTTACTTTTACTTGAAATTTATATACATAAGAAAAAAGAATTTATTTACATTTATTGTTATTATTATTTACATTATTGTTATTATTTTTAATTTTTATACACTTTTAACAAAATTGAAATCGATTTTTACTTTTACTGCGTGTTTTGGTACAAATTGAAACAAAACAACTTATTAATACTTATTTTCAATTCTTACT